TCTGCCAGTCCTGAACTGACTTACCTGCCACCTGCCTGTCCTGAGTTGGCCTGCCAACCACCTTTTCAGGATCCATCTGAGACTTTAATGACCTGCTTAAGGAGCCTCCCTGACATTGAGAAATCACCTTTTGAGGGCAGTTGCCTGGCCATTTTCACTCGTTCCTATGGAGGCCACAGAAGGAGGCCACTCAGTACCACAGTATTTCAGTTGCCCAGCTCCCTGGCCTCACCACTGGCCAGCACTACTGAGTCGACACTCGTTCCTGGTTCTCTGTCTGCAGACCAGCCGACATCTGTTCCTGATTCCTCGTTGGAGGTCTGGTCGACATTTGTTCCCGATTCTCCGTCTGGAGACCAGCCGACATCTGTCTTTGATTCCCCATCGACGGTCTAGCTGACACCTGTTCCTGGTTCTACATTTGCAGACCATCCTGCATCTGTTTTGCAGCTATCTCCTCTTCCTGTGCTGCAGTTGTCTTCAGTGGATGAACTTCAGTAGTCTTCTGTTTCACTGGCTCAACCGGCTCATCTTCTTGCCCTCCAGCCGCCGGTCTCTGGTCCTTATCCTGTGTCCTTGAGACCAGCTCTACCAATTTGCTTTGACCCCAGGCCTTCTGCCTGAGTTCTTCGGCTCCACACCTATTCAGCTCCCAGGTAACTTGCCCCTGACTTTGTCTTGATCCTGGTATCTTTGTTCCCTGTGTTGCCTTATTGGATTTTTTGTTTTTGTTTTACTGCACAATTTTGTCTTGAACCTGTCTGTAAGTGGAATTATCCTCATTAAATCACCAAAGACATCCTGCTGCCTGTACTGTTTTGCGTATGAGCCCAATCCTGAGGTTCCTAAGTTGTAACACTTACTTACTGAACAGTCTTAAACATCCAAATTGTTTAAATAACACTTTTTATTACATCCACCAAGGAGCTTATATTTATACATGCAATTTTTCTATCAATTAAAATTAACCTCAGAATAAGTGATTAAGGTTTTGTGCAGTCTGTAGCTATTCATGAAGCACTTCACATTTAGGCTCAAAGCTGCTTAACCACAAGGTTATTTGGTGTATAATTGGATGAGTGCCCCCCAAATTCTTATAAATTATTTTTGATTATTTTGGTAAATTCAAGGGTACCCTGTGGAGTATTCTTGGAAACAAACAGTTTTGTGGACATTCAGTGTTTCTCACTGAAACACAATGTGTATATCCTTGAGGCCTGTTGAATGCATCTACTTCCTCAAAAAAAAAAAATAATAAGCCAATTTTGTGGATATTTACAATGTTGTATACTGTGTATCACATCACAGCATGCTCATGTGCGAGACTATCCTCCCAAGAACGTCAGCATCAGTTGTTTTGGCAAATGCCCAAAATCTATAATTGATCATGTTCAAGTGGCAAGCCCTCTTGGCCATAGTACTTATGACTGAATCATTATTAGTTTGACTCACGTGAAAATTAGGATGAGCAAGCAAATTCTGTCTTGATTATCATAACATTAAATTGGATTTGTAAAGCTTTTCAGAATATTCTACAAACAATAAAAAGTACATTTGTTGTGAATAATTAATTGCATTTTACATGATAATTTATTCATGAAGATTTCATTTTCCGAAACACTCTTCTTTAATACACTATAACAGAACACGTCAACTCTAGGGTTAGGGTTAATATGTAGAGTAGAGCTAGTAGCTCTACACATTAGGTAAAAACATTAAGTCAGTCTAATAATGAACACTGATTATAATTTAAAAGTAAAACTGAAAGTTGGCAAATGTGCCTTATTCAATAATTGTCATGCCATTAAATGCAAAAGTTAATGAGTGAAGTTACTGTTACGATAACTGAACATATTCAAAGGATATTATAAGCTAAATGGTTATTGTCTCTTTAACACTGTACCATGACTGAAGAGGTTAACTGTGAATGAAATGATGCAAAATGACAGACAAGTCACAGTCTCACCTGTCACAACGGAAAATAGCAACTGACTCAATAATAACAGAAGAAACAACATCTCTGTGACTATCGGAAAAGAAAGCATTCATTTCCTTTTTTCACACATGCACTGTACCTACACCATTGGAAATATGGCGCAGTGCCGCCAACAGCAGATACAGGTGTCAACCAGAAACACAATGGCAAAATGTAGCACGTGGTCTGTATTGTTAAACATGATCTGGAAAATATCTGTCCAAATTGCTCTGTTCTTTTATGACAATTTTTCCAAATACAGTAAGTCTATAACTGTTTCCTACTCTACAGCTACCTGAAATACATCCATATAACATTTACTGTTTTGTCATTTCTTCATCCTTTTTACAGTTTAAGCTGATTTTCATTTACAAAAGTATAGGTACTATAGTTTCTTTAGTGAAAACATGACAGTATGGATATGACTCCACTAAGAAAAGTCCTATGTTGCTGTTTTTCTTATTTAAAAACATTTCCCTCTTCAGCTTTGTGAAGTCTACAATAGCTTTCAAATAAAGACTATAGATTATATATACATATATGTTTTTAAAGTTTTCTTACACCTCTTAAAATCAAGAAGGCCTTGCAATCCAATGTGAAGCTTTGGCGACCCCTAGTGGCATTGGGTCCCCCAGGTTCGGAACCAATGTAACCTAGTGACTTATGACTGTCTCAACTAAATGCCTAACCACAACTTTTTTTTTAAATGAACCGTAACATGCTTTTATCTTAACCCTTAAACTAAACAGTGTTTTCAGTGACTTGTACAATATATATATACTCACATATGTATATAATGTTATATGAGAAATAATTTAATTTACATCCAGATGTGTGAAATTGTACATTACTGGGAGATCTATCATGATATTCTGAGAAAGGGGGAAGTAATTTCCAGCATCAACAACCAGTTCTGGTTGGTAATGTTAATATATTCTAAAACATGTCATTAGGTTCAGCATCTCCAAAAACTCAAGCACATGAACCTTGAACTTGCAACATTTTTTAAACTGAACGTTGTTATTATACAAGCCATCCTGTGCAGTATTTCAAATCCCTCTAACCAACCACCATTCATATTAATATTAAATGAAGGGCAAAAAAAGCAACAGTTTACAACTCTGCTGTGATATCAACATGGCCTGGCAATCACATTCTCTTCTGCATTCGTTTTTACATTGATTTTTTTTTCTATTTAAACAGCATGGTGAGATATTTTTACTTTGAAGCACACACACAGGAACAGTTATGCTCCAAATCTGTTGTGGCCTGGAGAACAGTTGCAACATCATGTGCACTGAACTAATTTCCACAGATCTCAGTATGAAAAACAGGAAGAATTTTGTTTTCATAGGCCTATATGCTGTGTACGTGTAAAGTTTAAAGTTTCAGTGAGTAACGCTGACTGAGGGTTCCTTAGTTTGTTGAATGGTTGATCAAATGTGTGGCCAGCAGTTCAAATTTCTAAACAAAACCAAAAAGGAATAAATGAAATACAGAAAGTCAATAAAAAATAAGGAGAATTGTTAATGGCTTTCCACACTTTTTGTTGATCCTTTTAAATTATTTTTTTGTATTGTGCATGGCATAAAAAAATACTATGATTAAAAAGGCATTTCTTACACTTTGGGCACCAAATACAAGGAACAAGACATTCATTTTATAATGATCTAGAGTAGGCTATATTTACTTGAAATGCCACTCACATAATCTTCACAGATGAAAATCTTTTCAGCATGTCAGATTAAGTCACAAATTATCAATAAGTCATGGTGATGTGCTAATTTATGTGATGCCTTACCATATAAATCTTTAAACCACTATAAAAAGTTGATGACACAACACTGATAATGTTGTGGTGATGAGAAACCCAACTGTGTCCTTGTTGAATGAGATCATTTTATTGGGTGCAACTGGATGTAAAATGAAAATCAGAAAAATATTTTATTTTTGTTCTTTGGTTCGGTTTTTAATTGTGTACTTTTTCATGGCAGTACATTGTTTGTTTCAAAAACTGATCCATTTTAACTATGCCTATATAAATATTATAAAAATTGTTAGCACTGTGGTGAGAGGGGGGGCTAAGTAAACGTCAATAAACCTAGTTTTGAAGTCATAAATAGTTCCAAATCATTTGTTCTGGATGTTTCCTAATGACTCTAAATTAAGGTTATATGAGGTCTTCCCTTGGCAGTGAAGTGGACAGGTATAGTGGTTAACTGGTGTCTCTGAACACAGACACCCAGCATTTCATCTCCCGTTGAGTAGTTGGATTGCAACAGAGCTCAGAGGAGCAGGGCGCATGCAGACCATAAGGCTGTGCATTCTTTAAACCAGGGACTAATTTCCAGTCCTCCACTTGGGTCTGGGTAAACAGCACCGCCCCGATGGTTGTTTGTTTTAAGTGTGGGACGATCCATCGCAGAGAGCCGGGCTCGATTGACACTGTCTGCTGATCTGCTACTGCGGATTGCTCAGAATAACAAGGCTGCTCGCTAATTCCCGTCTATCGGGGCTTTCGCCGAAACACCGAGAGAGTAGGGTCCAAAAAAAGCCAACAAGGCAGGCAAGAACGCCGCGCCGCCGGAGTCCGCACCCCAGAATGGCTTCGGGAGACCTTTACGAGGTAGGATAAAACCACGTCCAAGGAAAATGCTCTGTAATATTGACGAATAATGGAATTAGGAAGTAAAGGGGAGGGCGTCGCGTATGTAAAAAGCGGTGTGGACTAAGCCCTTTAACAGGCGAAACTAACCCTTCTCAAGCTTTGCGAAGACAAGGTTTGTTAATTTATGCTCGTAGTACTTCGCGTCGCTTCTCATACACTTTGACATAATTGTTTAGGACTGTAGTGAGGTAGACAAGATGTCATTTGCGGGCTCAACTCCTCAGTCTGTCGCCGAGTTGAAAGTCGTGGTAAAGTGACAGCAGCGCTGAACGGAGGACATGGTGAATAGCTACAGACGGAGTGATGGTCCTGAAGGTGCGCATACATGCCAAAAGATATTTTGTCATCACAGCCTTTTTACAGCGGCGGTGACTGTTTAGCAGGCTGTTTGGCACATAAGATGACACACCGGTTTATTTCGGTCGAGCGGTGTAAACAAGTCTGTGTAGGAGCTTCTTTCATGGTTGATGCGTGAATTTGCGAAATCATGACTCCCGATAGTGTGGGGCGTAAAAAGTTGCCCAAATGAGTGGCAGGAAAGGTCACGCCGCCCCTCGTGCGCAACATCACTCTGGAAGCAGTGCCAGAATTTGCATGAAGCCTGGTTTTCTACATCAGCTTGACTGAATCAAGCACTTGCTGTCATTAGGCTTTGTTACACACTGACATGGTTTCATATGTTTGAGTTCATGGGGGTGGCAGGGGAGAGATGGGAGGATTTCAGTGTTTGATGACTTCCAGGGGCAAACAAATGTAGGTGTACATAAGTTTTCCATTCGTTGCAATAGATTAGGCCCACACATTTGCCACATGCCACAAGAAAAGTGTCCATCAGAAAATAAACTTGGGGATCCATTCATGTGTGTTCGAGAAGATAAGGTTATCTGCTGGCAGCATTGACTGACGATGAGTCGAGCAGGACAGCAGTTAGAAGACAATAGAATAAATACGTGAGAAGCAGTTGGTAATTGTATTTTTACAGTTTGACCCACCAACTGTAATTATTTTTATTAGGCCGTTGCTTTTTATCCCAGAAACACATCTTGGATCATTTGGAATATGACACCAGAGTGCTGTCAAAGTTAACTATTCTCAAGTTTTATTTACTTCCTTTTTCTGTCCTTTCCGATATATTTTTACATTTTCTGGCTTAATTAAGTGTGCTTCTTTCAATTGGGTAAAGCTTCATGCGTCTACGTACTACTACTGAACAGAAAAGACCTGTTTGTTTTATGCTGTGTTCAAGTCATATCGTTGAGTAATAACAAGAAGCTGAGTGGGAAAAACCGTTCACCTCAGCCTCCGACTTGTTGTGTGACATACATACATAAATGAGGTAGTAGTGAGCAATAATGTACTTTTGTTATGATGTTTTACTACTAGATTGAAAATGCTGTTGGTTCCACACAAACAGTTGGTTTGATATGAAATCGGCCTCTTGGGACAGCCTGTACTATTACCGTGTGGTCACTGGTTTTTATTAATTTCCTGTGGTTCTGATTGACTGATCATTGTTGAACAGGTTATTGGGTTATCGCAATTTATCACTCACAAAATATGATTTATTTTTGTTAGTGTGTCGGCAGGCGTGGCCTGTTGAGAGTCATTTGAGTCTTTGTGTTGTTTGTCCACTAACATGACAACCGATCCATGGGTGACAGGTCTGTTTAGAGTGAGAAGCTGACCAGAGGTTGCTGGTGCTGTGCAGCTTTTACTTAAAAAACGAATCCAAAATAAACATTTGAAATATAGAGAACGGTGTTTCGTATTGTTGGGGTTTATGGCAAATTATAATTTCCAGGAGTTGGTTCATGTTGGGAGTGCCAGCACCAGTGAAGTAGCTAATAATGTTGTGTTCAAATGGTTTGTTTGATGGTGCTGTAGTAGGAGATTGATTGAAAAGTAGAGGGAGTATTCAGTTGACTGTCATTCTGTTTTCGTATTGTTGTGACTTGCGAATTTGATGCATAGATTGTTGTGACAGTTGTGGATTAAGTGAGAGAGAAGTTATCAAAAATGTAGTATATGTATCAATAGACTCTTGTATGTATTATTATTCTTTGGTCATTTGCTGTCTTTATAGTTCTAGAGATAAAAAAATCCATGATTTGGAATGAAGATGTTAGGGAGTCAAGGAGATGGATCCTGGAAGCTGAAAGGCTTTGGGATGAGCATTGACCACCGGGGGTGCATGAGATAGGAGATCATATTGGATGGGTATTGAAATTCTAAAACCACTTGAAAGTGAGAAAGAATGGATTATTCAATACTCAGTATTCAGTCTATAAGCGCAACAGGCTGTACCCTGTGCTCCAGTGGGTGTGTTCCTAAAATGCACTGTCACACTGATTTATTCTATGCTTTATTGATCTATCCGCAGTCTAGGCCACTGTTCTCTTTCTTAGTGAAGAATTGGGTTAACTAGAGAGTTGTGTTGAACAGATATGGTGACATCAAACAATCTATAAGTAATGTGTGAAAGCTTTTTTTGCAAAAGCATGAATAAAGGTCAGGCTTTGTGCTGACTTTTTAAAATGCAATGAGGCAGCGGAAGCACCACGGATGAACGATGTTAATTCTACAACATGGTTGAGAAAACACCAACTTGGGGTCAGTTGCTGTTTGGAGGTGCTCAGCCTTTACATGCTGAAGGACATTCAACACTTAAACATAGCTGTACACATTAGAAGAACAGCATTATCTATAGGGAGCCTGACCTCCTGTTTTAAAAAATGTATAGATAGTATTGAAAGAGAGAGGGTGAGTTGTTTTCCATTCTCTTCGATACTTTTCTGTTTATTTGTTTACAGGCAACATTCAAGGTTCAAGGGTCATATGTCATTCTACAACACAGGTTTGTACATGGAAATGCCAGCTATAGTCCCTTTATGCTAGAAACTAAAAGTGGAGAGTGGAGGATAAACTCAGTAGTCTCACAGCCCAAAGAACGAACCAAATCTGTTAGCCTGGTGATATGGCAGTGGATACTTCTGTATTTCTTGCTGGACGGCAGCAGGATGAACAGGCTGTTGATGGCTGGGTATAGTCTGACATCTATTGTCATTATTGTATTGAAAAGCATTCTCCTAAAGTGATTCTGCACCCAAAATCTGCCTTTAGAGCATAAGATTCTCAAAAATCCTTCTATTGACTGATATAGTTCACCACAGGAATATGATTCAAGCCTCTTTACAGGATGCTTGTTAAGTCTTTCACTAACATATTGTGGTGACAGTTTACTATATTTAAAAAAAACAATACTGTGGACTTAACTGTGGTGGCTTAACATTTTGTAGGATGTCATATTTTAAAAACATATCGTGCAAAAATGACATTAGCTTGAAATGTGGTTAAAAGTTTGTATTTTTGGTCATGAAGAAGAATGACTGTAGTTTACTTGAATTTTGTTGGTTACAATAGATTATAAAGTGTTTTAAGTGATTTCGTCACTGTCCTCGTTGATGCTGGTTACATACAATCATGGATTTCCGACGAAAGGCATTGCTTCAGTGTTTCTCTGCTGGAAACCACGAAAAAACATTACAATGTCACACTCCATTCGTCACCGGGACTATAGTATCAGGGGGATTGTTGCACCACAATACTAGCTGTCATTAGCTATTTAGCGGTCCTATTAGCTGACTCTACCCTGACTGGGAGCTTGAAGGACAGAGGGAAGTTTGTTTAAACGACTAGTTTAGGAGCTAGCACAGGAAAATGAACACCGGAACCGGAACTGGACGAGTGTGCAACGGGACCAGGTTCACAGCCTCTGAGACTGACAAGGGCCAGGTGATTTACAGCAGCTCCAAACAGGACTCCAGGGAGGACAAAGACACAGCGGGTTCAGGCAGGGACGGGAGAGGCATGAATTGGGAGAGGAGCGAGTCTGTAGTGAGTTAATTTGGGTCTGGATCCTCTCTTTTCATCATACTTAAGTTGCACAATCTATATAATAGCTTTTATAAAAAGGTTTTGAAATTAAAGGTAGAGCTTCAGATTCATATTGATGAGATGATAGCAGCTTAATAGCTAAAGTTAGTCAGTAAAGTTTAGCTTGACTTTGTTAATTTTTCCATTTTGAAAAATATATACTCTATAATGCAGATTTTTTTAAACTCTGAAATTGTTTCCACCCAGTTCTAGAAACAAAAGCTGGGTGAATGTCCTTAGTCTCATTGAGCAAAGCATTTAGAGACTGGCTTGTGAGTCTAGATTGCACCTGCTAGTGCATGAGAGCTTATAGGCACTGTTCAGCAGTGGGATATCTGTGAGATCATCAAGCTCAGAAAAGACAGGAAAATATAGTGTGATCTGTGGTCCATCAGGGATGTCAAGACAGGTGTATAAATTACACACTGTGTACATTCCACTGTGTAATGTACACCCTGACATCACTTTTGAGTGTGGTTATAGGAGAACCAGAGCACCCTTCTGACCACGCCCAAAAATTATGTCAGGGTGTACATTACACACCTGTCTTAATATCCCTTACAGACCACTGTATGTTCTTCTCATTATGTTTTGGGTTGGAGTATGCTGAAAACGAATTTGGCCACTGAGGGAGGATATGCCCACTTCCACTCGTTCAGGTCAAAGTTAAGTGTTACTAAACTAAACCTCTCCGGTCTTTGTATGGCCCTTCTATCTACCGTCTCAACTTTCCTTCTCCCTTTTTCTGCATGTGTCTCTGCCATGCTGTTATACATATGTATTGTTAAGTGTGACATTGTCTGATTCTGTAAGGGTTTGAATCTGCTGTTCATTTCACTGACACCCCAACAGGTGCCCCATCAAAGGCTGTTCGTTGCTGTTAATGTGCTCAAAACATATCACAGCAACAAATGATGAGCAGCTATTACCACAGCTACATTAAAAACTGTCCAAGCATTATCCATATCTGTATTAACAAACAATACAGATATTTCTAATGAAGTGAATGGGAAAAGGACACATAATGCTTGATCTTCATAATTTTCATAAGTATCTGCCTTCATATAAACAAGCAGGCTTCTGATGGAATCCAGCACTGTATAAAACATTGCACATATTGGTTGGATTCACGTAAAGCTGGATTTCTGCTATACGCAAGGGGTTAACAGGAATCTCACCATAGATACTTATGGCGTTTGTTTCCATTTATAGTGCATTGAAAGTGTACTGATGAGTCACTGGCAATTATTTCCCCACTAATAACCGAAGGAGTGAGGCAGTAATTAAGCAAAAGTTACTATATATTCAGTATGAAAGTTTAGAATTGATACTGAATATCCTTGTGACAACTGTGAATTAGGAATTATATTGTACACACAAATGAGAAATAAAACTACATGGTAGAGTTTTTCTTCTAACAAATAAGATCAATCTTTGTATTGTTGTTATTACGAGCAAAAGTCTTAAGAAGATAGAGTGTTGGCAGTAGCAAAACTATATGAGTGAATTTTCCTGTTTTAAATGAATTTCCAACTCGGATGGGTGTTGTCATTATTACATTTAACACCAAGTTACTTCCTCCTTTTATGTCCATTATGCTGTCTTTTTCTAGAGCAAACATTGTTCACCAAACATGACTAGACACATAGTTCTTTCTGTGCTAGCTTATACAGAAGCAGAGTGGTTACTTATAAATATGACTGTATACAGTTTCAGTATATAGCAATTATAAGATTTAAGGCCAGTCAATGCAGCAGTGCAGTTCTTCTAACCCCCTGCCTTCTTCCTGTCTTTCTGTTTCCATTGGTAATCACATTACATCTGATGACTGCTGTTTGTTTTACTTCCTTTTGGTCCTAATGGTAATAATGTAACGTCTGGTGACTGCCTGATCAATCGCTAACAATTACATACTGTCTCTTGGTCTAGTGTATGAAAGTGCTTCATTTCATTTGCTCTGGGTCAGCTCACCGACTCAGATCTGCACTGTGTCAGTTCACCAGTATGCCAGCATGCTTCCATAAACCCACACCACCACAGCAAACCTCTGAACTGCACTTGAATGGTTTATTCAGATTTTTTTCAACACTTTGCTTCAGGTCACAGATGCATATGAAGATTTTAGTATCACATGATTCATAATGCACCATTATTCTTCACCTTACCCATCTCTGTGTCCTAAAACCTATGGGCTAATGCCAACAGATTGTGCACTGGAAGACATGCTGCTGCAACTCACACCAGGTTAGGCCAAAACTAAAGCGGTAATCATTGATAGAATTTAGACTTTTGCAGATATATTTAATGTCTACATGCAAATGAATCTCAGTTTCCCTTAAAGATTCCCTTCAATGGAATAGATTATGGTGATATTGGGCAGCAAAGAAGAATAGGCTTTGATCTTAATAAAAATGGGCACCAGACATTTTAGTATGAACATAAGTCTGTAAAAGATTGTTTCTGAAAAAGGATTTATTGATCAGTCAAAACACATTATGCTTTTTTACAAAAAACATTTTTTTTGGCTACTTGAGGTTAGCTCAACAAGCTGTAAACACAACATTAACATATTATCACCTTGTAAAGTTTTATTATGAATGTGTTAGTAAGCAGTTGCCTGTTTACCCATCCAGCACACTGCACAACATTAGCATTCTTTTTGGCCACCTGATGAATGAAAGTGTGAATGTCAATATTCACTCTCCTTTTAGCTCCTTTTTGATATTCAGTGACTCCTCAGGGAAATATCTGGCTCTTAAGCTGCTGAAGGCTACATTGTGTTCACCAGCTCTGTTACTTTGTCTGTCTGTCATGTGGTGCTGGACAGGTAGGGTACAGTCAGTTTATCTGGGCCTTTTTGCTAAAAACAGCTGCTGGCTGCAGCTAAAAACAACGCTACAAGGGGTGTGACTGAACCAAAAAGATAAAGTTGCTGGCCTTTAGAATAAAAGAAAAATAACTGTGGGCTCTGCACTATTAGTGACCCATTTCCATATTACACCTAACCAAACAATTTTAAAGCAAGTCTCCAGTTGAACCCAGTTATTTGAAATATTTATTTTGGAAGTGAAACCAAAAGTGAACTCAACCATAATGTTTATTACAGTGTGATCTTCCTTTGTAACATACTGTAAAACTGTGTGTGTACAAACTATAGCACGTTGGCCAGAGATTAGTAACGCAAGATGTAATACACTTTCACATTGGGGGAGTTTGCGTAATCATATTTGTTTTTTACGTACAAAAAAGTGCCTTTAATAGTAAACATTATTATTGATTTCTGTCACCATGAAGTTTCCCTGTTCACTCTGATGTAGAGGCTTCTGAAAACTAGATGGTCTTGGGCCTGCTGTAAACACACGTTTTACTGATAGTAATAATTTGCAGTTTATTAAAGCATGATTAATACAGTATATCAAATTGATGCTGATGGTCATTACATTGAGCTGAGTGCTTTCAGGGGTTTTGGTTGTACTGTGGGTTGATAGTGTGGCTTGGATGCTGTCATTTTACTGGCTTGGAGGGTGGATGGCAGATGAGCAAGTATGCACAAAGCTGGATAAATGTGTAAATGCATCTTTTTCTCTCCATTTCAACCCCCCGCCACACTAAAACAGTGTTTTTCTTACCCCACGAAATGGAGATTTATTGTTAAAATGGTTTCCAGAGTGTATAAATTGTAAAATGCCGGCTCGGTGTTTCAGTGTGTACTGGGGGAACTGCCCAGTGAGGGTCAGGTCTGTGTAGCAATAAAGTTAAGAAGATGGCCTTTAGTTGCCTCCAGTCTACTCTGTGATCGTTCATTTTAAATGTCAGTGTAGCTGAACTCTCTGCACAGTTGTTGTCATAACCTGCGCAGTATTTATGCAGATTATGTCAGGCAATGTTGCGACCATAAAATAACTATTTGGTCAGCTGGTCTTCTGTCAAAATCTGATCCCCCCCTTATAGTGTTTCCCTCCCATTAGAATTGTGTTTTCTGTCCTACTTACCAGATGGTTGGCTGTGATTCCCAGTTTTGTTGTTTCTCAGCTGAAAGAGGATAAAGAAGAGATTCTGCTGTTGAAACATGAAAATAGCATTTTAAAAATTAGATGGCTAAATGTAGACCTCTTACTGTTTAATCTTCATGTCAGTATTTCTGCTGATGGTTTGTCAGATTTATTCACAGCATGTGATAACCACAGCACTGTATGGTTAGTATTGCAGGATATTCATGCCCTCATTCTCTTCCAGCTCATACTACCGTCAAGTGTTTGTAAACCTCTCTGGCCTGTGTACACTGGTTACCCCACCCTTTTCCTGTCCCTCTTTTTCTTTGTATGTGTCTTTCTCTGCAATGCTGTTAAGTGTGACACTGTTTGGGACTGTAAGCAACCTAATTGTCTGTTCATTTCTGTGACACCCCTGCGGCTCACCCATCAAAGGCTGTTTACTCCTGTTAATGTGTGCAGCACATCTGAGAACATGATGAGCAGTTATTACCACAGCTGCACTAAAGCCTCTGATGAAGCCTTCCATTTTCTATCAGTCCCCAGGCCCAAAACCACGCTACTTCTAAATGTCCTATGATTATTGTATAACATGCTCTTAATAAAACTTTTTCCATATTTTTTAATATTTTTATATTTAATTCTATGTTGCATGTTATTGCATGTAATTTTTATAATACTATTCATGTATTTGGCAGTGTAAATGTGCCCCCATGTCAGCCAGTGATAAGCAATATGTATAAATAATCAGATAAAACTTGCATGTTAACAGTGGTGCAGGTGTTGTAAATTTTGAGAATGTGTGAAAGCTGACAGAATCTAATGTGATGTTTTATTCTAGTGTGTGTTTTTGAAGTGAGGTGTCCTGTGTGTTATATATTGTTTGTAATGGGATGATACGTGTGCGTGTGGCTGCTTGTGATGTTTACATTTTTGTCTGTTTTTATTATCGAGGAATCAAGGACATTTATTCGTCATTATACAAGACAAAGTTGTATAACAAAATGAAAGTTTGCACTTCCACTTCCGCTACACAGATAACTAAATTAATAGAATAATAAGAATAATAATAAAAACAATAAGTGAAATAAACCAATGTATAAATGTATCTAAATATATACGTACACCCAGGAAATAATTCTGCATTGTATCTTTTGCAGCAACAAGATAGTGATGTGTAATATGCTTTCATCTTCACATAAAGAAACAGCGTCCATTCACTTTGACTGCGTTTGAGCACCAAGCATCATCGATGTAAACACAGAGTTCACCTCCTCTCGCCCTGTGCTCTGTTGATTCGGGATTTTGGTGGAGCAGGTCTCTGTAAAGATGGGGCAAAACAGTTTGATTTTCCTGTTCTTTGGCCAGTCCCATTTCATTTAAACCGTACATTAGTCAAAATCTCCTGATCCAGTCAATTTAAACATTTTTGGCTTAGCCCTTAAAATCAAACCCAATCAGACATTGTTCAGTGATGTTTTCAGCAATAATGCTGAAAAAAATGTAGTTTGAAAGTTTGAAGGAGTTACCAGATACGGTACATGTACAGCCATTGCCATGGAAATAGATTTTCTATATATATATTATTAGCAGATGCTTTTGGGTTTTATTTTAAAAGAATCAGTTCATCAAAAATTAGACCATCCAGGTCAAGTTTGTACATCACGAAAATCTTGGAAATTGAAAACTAATTGAATTAAGATACCCAGTCATAATCACAGTATAGTGTATAAAAACTAAAACCAATAAAAAGAATCAATAAAAACCAAGCGTTTGAACAGTATGAAGTGTCATTAAAGTAATTTGGTCTACCAATGTAAAGAGGGATGTCTGTACTGCAACAGCTTACTACCCAGAAATTTCACTTTGAGTCTTACCTTTTGAATTACAAATCAAATTGAATACAATCAAATTGAATTGCAAAGTAATGATTCATACTCTTGTTATCTGTGGGATTAGTTACACACACAATGTGTGATGTTTGCAGATGACACTATCATAGTTAGTTTTTTTTTAGCAAATATATCACTGCCTTATTGTTTCTGTAAACACAATACATCTTGAATATGACTGTAGTCAGTATCGTCTTCCACTGAACTCGAGCTCTTAGCTTCATTTTCTTTTGTTGCTCTATTTCAAGCTTTAGTGTCAGTTAAGAATTTGTGTAATTTCTGACTAGTGTCACTTTTCACAACTACCTTTTATTTGCCTGTGCCTGTGTCAGATAGTATTTGCTGTTACTTTGTGGTTTCTGCTGGCTTAATGTAACTGTAAAATAAACAGACTGTTCTAGTTTTGGTTTGAACTCAAAAGGCTGATGTTTAAGGTTTCTTCATGATAGCAGCCCGCAGCTCTTTTCAGATCTACTCTGGTCCCTTATCTTTTTTCTGCAGGGAATTAGCCCTTATCTTAAACTAGACATGTCACAAAATGTACCTTTTTAAGATCTGACACTCCCTGGCAATGTCTCAAAATGTAATTCAATATTAAAACATAGATAATTATATATATGATTAAAGGGTTCATCCTCTAGGAAACATGAATGTGTTTCGTCACTTTCGTGGAATTCTGAAAATGAGGTATTTCTACAGTATTTCCTTTGTTAAAAGTGAAAATTTTGGCCGGATGGTGCCATTATAGCAAAAGAAGAGGATTCAGCCTCTGGGGATTTTTAGTGCTGTGGCTGAGAGACCCATAACGTAGCTGCTTATGGTGCTCGGCCATGAAGTACACCCACATTAAAGATTAAAGCCACTGTGTGTAGAATTTAACATTTTGACTTTAGGGGCACCCATGTTGAAATGTCAAACAACACACTTTGGCAGACATTTCCATTCATAAAACCTCTGCCTGTCAACCTTTGTTTGTGACTATAGATAAAAATGATTTAACAGCATTGCTAAATGATGCCTAAATGATTACCTTTTTTCCAACTAAAAAACATAACCCATCTCCACCCATTACTCTCCTTCTATGCTGCACAACTTTGGTCCATGCCTTCGTCACATCCAGAATAGACTACTGCAACAGCAATTTTTACTGCACATCATCCAAAATCCTACTTATCTCCACTGTATCCAGAACTCTGCTCCTCGCCTACTCACTCACTCCCGCGACCAGATCTGTCCTGTCCTCCAGAATCTCCTCTAGCTCCCTGACCCACAATGGATCTAATTCAAAGTCCTTCTCCTCACTCACAAAGCCGTCTATAACAGGGCACTCTCCGACCTCACCAATCTGCTCCACCACAAGTGGTACAGTGTAGGGTCTACAGACATATACCGAGTATACCCACTTATTTTTCACTTGGCATTGAGTATGCCCAAATCCCCTCTGATGCGCATCATGCAGTAGTGTTCTGCGAGCTGAATGTTTTTATGGTGAAGGTATGACACAGATTTTCATGAGTAGATGGAGGAGGGAATAAGGAATACTTACAATGCATAGTTATGTAGTTGTCTCACCCAATGGTCTGTGGGCCTGTATTGATTGCAAAGTATGCACCTCTTATGTGTCTATTTAGTACTGAAGTAGTTAATTTCATAATGATCTATACTCACTGAAGTCAAGCGGCAGAAGTGACAATGTACAAGTACTACTGGCCCATTTTTGCATGAGTAGTCTTACATGTCACTGTTTATAACACAGGGCTATATATACTCACTTCTCTAGGCACCACTACACCACTGTCCACCACCACACTCCTTCCCTCAGCCTTTGCTCTTCTGATGCCAATCTCCTGTCCACACCGCTCAGGACAAAGCACCCGACCTAGGGCGACAGAGCCTTCTCCAGTGCTGCCCCCACCCTCTGAAACTTTCTCCCTCAACAAACCTGAGACTGGAATTGATTTGTTCATATTCAAATCCCTAATCAAAACTTACTTTTCTAGAACTACTTTTAATGTGTGATTAATGCTGTGAGTTATATATTTTGTGGGTGGTTTTCTATCACATAAAGTTGTCCTTGAGTACCCTCAAAAACTATAAATGAAATGTATTATTAACGTGTGCATTGTGCACTTTTTTGCAGTATAGTATATAAACTTTATCTTTCTTAAACACACCTATGTTTTGGGAGCAGAAAAAAAAATAAATCTATGTATTGAATTTATTTTAATCATTACAATATTATCTAATTGCCTGTCCCTCTGTGTGCGACCACCAGGTGGAGCGGATCGTGGACAAGAGGCGGAACAAGAAGGGTAAATGGGAGTACCTGATAAGGTGGAAAGGTTATGGAAGTAAGGAAGACACGTGGGAGCCAGAGCATCACCTACTACACTGTGAGGAATTCATTGACCAGTTCAATAGCTTGAGACTTCAATCACACAAACGGCCCAAAGTTCCAAAAAGTCGCCAAGAGCCCCTCATCACTAGCCGTCCATCTGCTACTGAAAACTCCAGAGCTAGGTCTGAGGCCCGAAAGAAGAAAAGGACTTGTGGCCCAGCTGTTGGGGTTAGAGTAGGAGCTGTTCTAGGGATTGGAAGTGGAGGGTCAGGACCCACTCAGAAGCAGAGGAAGGTGGGTGTAGGACCTGGGAAACATGCTTTAGGAATTAGCAAAGCCATGACGTACAAGGCACCTCCACAGGGGGGGCCTCACTTTGTTCCTCCAGTGAGGGTTCCTCATAATGGACTCCAGAATGGAGAGATGGAGCCTCTCGTGTACAGGACTGCAGCAAGGTCTCACAGGCTGCCTTTGGACAGACTGGATGGAGAACTAGCAGACATGGATACTACTGGACAGCAATTCACCACTGAGCTAGGTATGATGTTGAGAAATCTAATGAAATAAAAAACTTTGAGCTCAGCTGATATTGGATTTTTTAGGCAGATATTGATATTTTACAGTAATAAAAAACTGGACGTCCTGGGCTCTGTTCCAAAAGTAAGAAAACCATATTCAAAACTACATTGAGATTAATGTAACTAAGCCTTGGAACAAAACCTTAGCAGCAAAGGCTTTTTTTTAACAGAGGACAGCCTGGATGTGATGTCAGGACTCCTTCTCTCTATATCGGCCAAAATTAGTAATTAGCTTTAGTTCTGTGTTGACGTTTCTACATGGATATGAATAATACAGCCACTGAAAAGTACCAGGCAGCTACATACATAGAAGTGATTAGGTTTATATTGCATATATTGCCATGATAGGTATTTCCCGTACATGATAGATTGCAATGCTTATAAAGATAAAAAACAGAATATTTTAATAGGCACACTTTCCACTGTACTTCTGCTGACACACAGCTCTTAAAGCTCCTACTATGGCTCTTTACTACCAGAGCAGCTGATAACACCTTTGAATTTCACTCGTGGGTCACAGTCCAGGGCCTGCACCAAAAGTTAATCATTACATACCTTTTCAAAAAGTCATTGTGGCTTATTCAACAGCAAATTCAGATCCAAATGGTTGAGTTTTCATTTTTTTAAACCATATTTGAGTAATAACACACACACACACATATATATATATATATATATCAGTGGTAGAATTAATATGGAGTTTGTCAATTTTGCTGTCCATAACACATTTTATTGCCCAACTTAAGTGATGCAAGTCCTAGTTTACTGTTGGGGCTACATTACCAATTCAAGGTTGGCAAAGTTCCACATGAAATTTGTTAGTTGTTCACTCTTTTTAAAGCACCACAACGCAATTAGTCATTGTAAGACCTCACCTTGGAGCTTCTCTATGAGAGAACATGAGGGCTACCAACCTAAACTACCGGTCTGACAGCTATTATGGATCCTAATCTCCTACTCCTCAAGAGACTACCTCATTCAGCACCCTCAGCTCCACCCATTATCATGCTACACTGGCAGAGGCATTTGTTAACTGGCAGCAAAATGTGCACACAAGGTTATGTAATTAGAAAAATAAATAAAAAAAATAAAACAGACCTATATATTTAGAAGATGATTATAAGAACATCGAAATACCTTGCATAGCAGCAACAAGGTGTCCATTCCATTAAAGATACCTGTTGATTGACCTTTCTCCATTAAACATTCCTGTCGAGTTTCTCTTTCATCATACTACCCATGATGCATCTTTTTTTGAGCCAATGGACAAATTCAAATCTGCAGCAAAGTCTTTCAATAAATTGTGGGAGTGAAGATTGCAAATGTCATCAGTTTTACCACAGCGATTGAGATGTTGGCATCTCCATGACAGTCTGCCAGTTGCAGACAGCACCAGTTGCAGACAGCACCTCTTAATTGTCCAGACTTTTAAAGCAGTGTTGTCACAGGTCTGAAGCATTGTCAGTGGAAGGAAAGCCTGGAGGGGTGATTTAAATATTTAATGCCAATTTCTCATATCTTAATCCTAAATTACAATTATCTAAATTTGTTGTTATAATACCCTGCTTTTTTTCTGATTAAGTTTGCTATTGCTTGTTTCTATTGGTGACCAATTTCTAAAGGGAGTGCACTGCGTCACTGCATTATTCATCATGAAATCACTCATGGTTACAAGCACAGACTGATGTGTTCAATGAGGGCTTTTAGGTCATTTCAAAGTCTCCACTGGAAGCAAATATGAAAAGTTGTTTTTTTTTTTCGAATATGAGACCCAGCTTTTGTATTAGTATTTTCGTAATTGACATTACTGGCTGAAATGTTTTAAAAGAGCAGCACACCACTTGCTTGCTGTGGTGAGAAAAACTGTGCTTGTGTTCCTGAGTGATGTATGACTTATTTGTGTGCTATTGTTTGCTGACAGTGCATCACTAGATCTTTAGACTCTTGCATCTATTCAGCTGATGAAAGTACACAACTGAGATGCTGTTACTCAGCTTTCACAGAAACCTTTTTATCAATATATGTGAATCAGAACAGTTTTTTGATTAATGTTGGCCCGCTAGAGATTGCACTGCTCCCGTAAGTCAAGGTTTCTTTCTGTGAAAAGGCTTTTTTCTTTTTTTTCTATTCTTTGTTTTTAAAATATTAATGCAATCAAGAAAATTTCAAATTCAATGAATCCCGCAGTGACAGCTCAGATGCCATGCAGAGAACATACTGTCAGATGACACAGAAATAGGTGAACACTATCTTGGCAACTGAAAGTGTCCACACAAAAGCAAATGTAATAGGGAAAATAACTAACAAATTCTAGGCTACCCTTAAAAAATTTAAGTTGTTAATAAAATGCCTTTGTTTTGGTGTATATATATGTTGAATATGTGATTAGGTCATAAATGTTGAAAATGCTATCTAGGAACCTTCAAAAAAACTGCAAACTGAAAGACATAAGAAAACACTTTTTTTATATACACACATATGTATATATGCAAATATATTGTATACCCAGTCAAATAAAGCTTTGTACAGTCCCTCACACAAAGCTTTTAGAAAGTTTAACTACATTATCTAAACCACTGGTTTGGATTCCAAGCTACTTGCTGGTTCAACTTTGATGTGCATGCACACAGTTTTTTATGGGAACAGATGCTTCTAATGGACGTAATTACTGGGACTGTGGAACTTTTTTTCTAGCAGTGTTGCTGCATCCCCAGATGCTAGTAAGGAAATTGGTGATAGAAAATCTTATCAGGACTGACATCAACCAAGATGTGGGTTGAAAGAATTTCACACATAGTTTCTAAATGAATATTTTGGGCAATGTTTATGTCATGAAAGTGTAGGTAGTGTCTTAAGTGTTATCTTTTTAATCCTAGAAAACACATTGACCTGTTTTGTCATCCCTCCTCAGGCTCACCTCTGGCCAATGGCAAGATGCATCTACACAGCTCAGTAAAACGCAAGTTGGCTGAGGAGAAAGGCTACGTGTTCGACAAGCGGCTCAGGTATAATGTGCGACAGAACGAGACTAACTGTCGGTTCCGAGACATTGTGGTCAGGAAGGAGGAGGGCTTCACACACGTCCTGCTCTCCAGCCAAACAACAGACAACAACGCTCTGACACCAGAGGTTAGTAGGAGTATGTACACACATACACTGTTCTAACGCATACAAGTTGCTATTTATTGTTTTCCTTTATGCGTGTCCATTTCTTCCTTATGTTTCTGTGTTTCTCTGTATCAAAACCTATGTGTAATTATGTAACTTTTTCATTGTATCCCAGTTGACAAGGAGCTCTGTGTGTGGGGGAAAATAAATGAGAAGTTTCCTCATTAACTGCTGTAGAGATGCCCTAGAGCTGCGCACTAAACTCCTCAACTGCTTCAGGGGAGCTTTTCAGGAGACAACTTTAGACTGTGGTTTTTATTTGACAGATGCCATGTGTGAATATGTTTAGCTGCATGAATCTTACACAGGGTATGGCTGAAAAAGAGATACTCAGCAAAAAAGGTTAGGAAACAGCTCTCGGGCTCTGTCCTTAGTACTGGTACTGACAGTTTCCTTAAAACTGCCTCCTTCCAAACAAGGTTTCTACAATAGAGCAATTAGGGGTACATATAATCCAGCGTTATGCCATCTGCTGTTATTACAGCAAAATGTCAGTTGAACAAGTGAAGAAATTATGCATCAAGTTCATAAAGGAGAGCATTATGTATTATTATTATTATTATTATTATTATTATTATTCAAGAGAACTGGAGACCCTAGAAATGGACAGATTCCCTGTGATTTCCACTGTTGCTATGTAGAACTAACGTTGACACCTCTGCTAGAGTTTGCATTGTTGAAGCTTTTCTTTTTTGTCCAGTTAGTGTCCGATCATTCGGTTCAAACAGGTTATTTGCAGTATAGACATAGACGTATAGAGATGCCAGCTCAGTGATAAAATACCTAAATGCTGTAATATTTCTTAGTTGTAAAATTGTAGTTAATACAGGAGCATCACCAAAATGTGCTAAAAACAAGCACAATTTGACAACTTTACCCAGATGCTTTAGTATAAAAGCAGCTGTTAAAATACAGTGACTAATTCTGCAATCACAATGACAGAATGATCATGCTTGATGACATTTTGACCTAAAACAACAAAATGTTTTTAGTAAATAATCAATAAATGACTGATTTACCATTACATTGAACACATGTTAACATGATCTTGCTATTTTTAGGAGTACTTTTGATTAGGTCTGATGACATACCAGCTGAGTCTTCTCTGCAAGCAGTTTTGGTGCATAATCTATGTCAAGCTGTGTTCACTGGCTTTTGACATGTTTTCTCACAGTCTCCCCAGCAATTTGTCGATCACCTGCTACCTCCATGTCAATCAAATTCCCCCCATAAAATCAACATCTAGTGGCAGAACACTACAGCCTGAATTCAGGATTTTGTGCTGTGAGTTATAATAATCTGTCACAGTGATGGACAGGGGTGTACTAGTTTATATTAAGTCTATAATTTTAACATTGGATCTAACATGGTAGCTATTTTAGGAGTATGCGTTTATGTTTAGACTTGCATGATGCTTTACATAAGCCATTCTCAATATTAAAAACAGTGTGTTTTTAAGTGTTACTAAATGCCTAGATTCTGCTAGCTCCCTCCCTCCCAGCAAATTTAAAGAATGCAGCTGAGAGAATCATACAGGGACGCCCCCTGTATGATTCTCTCAGCTGCATTCTTATGGAGCCATTTTTGGAGCCATTTTTGTGGCAAAATTATTTATTAAATGTGAGTGGAGAATTGTGTAACTGTATTCTATTCCGTGTGTGTGTCATCAGATTTGTAAATGTGTAAAATAATCTATAAATATGTACTGAGATTTGTGAATGTGAACAGGAATATGCAAATGTCTATTTAGATTTGCAAATATATTGAGATTTGTAAATCTGTGAATGCATACATAGATCTGTAAATGCATGGACAAATGTAAATGGAGACATACATATTAATGGCTGAGAAGTCTAAGTATTTGCTCCAAGAGCTGGAAATACAGACAATTCATCAGTTACAACTCATCCATTGGCGTGGCCTCGTGACTGTGGTGCGTGTGATGTGGGAGGTAACACCGGACAGCTTGTCAGACTGAATACCGTTCAGTGTAGCAGCAATACAGCTGACTCTCCATGTCTGCGCTGGAAACACATAGAGTCTGCTGGAGCTTTTACAGTCACTATAAGCACATTTATGGCTGTTTGTATAAGTTTCTGTGTGGTACCTGTGTTGTAATATTAGCTAAGCTCGCGGCTTTAAGAGGCCAACTCTCTGGTGTCTGTGGGGGAGTGTCTGGCTACGGCTATGTAGCAGGTCACAGTCTGCAGAGTCAGGTGAGCGGGCTGGGAAAGGGGTTTTTTTTGGTGTCAAAACACCACATAAGTCACCTGCCCCCAGATCAGCCAATTGTGAAATTAAATTGCAATAGGCAGGTTTCAACCAGTAGAGGGCGGTTGCTATACATATTTATAGCACAATATGTGGATTTCAAATATTTAAATGTCAAGATTTGCAGCTGAATCAATCAACAACACTACTTAGTTGATTGAGGATTTAGTTAGGTTTAGATAGATCAGTATCAGTAACGCTGGGATATAATATAGTAGAATACAATATAAATAAGGCTGGGACGTGTCCATCTGCAACCCTGCCTCTGGTTTAATGGCTCTCTGCTCTGATGCTGTAGCTTCTCGCATTGTGATGATCCACTTGTAGAATTGGTACCAGCCTATGATTGGTTACTTAATTTTCACACTCCAATCAACAACAAGCTGCTCCATTTAAATATCCTCTGGATGTATTCAATAATTGGTTTCTCGGTTCAGTAGATGCTTTCCTCAACTGCACTTTTGGCTACTGTGACATTTTGTAACCTTGTTTTTTATTTTGTAAAATAATGATTTATGAATTACCATGTTGTTTTACCAGCAAACTGTTTTTTGGAATTATCCATAAATGCTTTAAAATTTTGATAATTGCTAAAGAAATGTAATATATGGCATGTCTTTATGTTACTTATGGATACTTACCCTGCAGGTCATATGGCATTTAGCTCTATATTTATAATTCAGACCTTTGCTAATATACTAATTAAGCATATATTAAAAGAAATGTATAGTTTGTTAATTTCTGGAATATCTTTAATCTTGAAATATTGTGAGCTGACACTTATAAAACATTTTAAATAAAATAGAGTTTTTAATGTATTCTTTTAACAGATTCCTTAGAGGTCCATTAATACAATAGTCCGTTAGGCCACAGATAAAGACATCTATCACAGTCCTCAACCTCTGGCTCATAATTCTAAGCAAACAAGATTTTCCTCCCCTCAGACTGTAGGCTGTGTCTTAGATCTTCCTCAGAGGGTGGTTCTGGCTTTGATACAGCGTCATGTGCGTGACGGCCTATACTACACAGGCACTGAAGTGGCCTAAACTGTGTGTGCACATGTGTGCGTACTTTCATGTGTGACAGTAAGCCCGTAAGCTGTGGGCTTATCAAACAGCACTGATAGCTCCTTCTCTGTCCCTCAGTCTTTGAAGCTACAGGAACAAGAGAGTCTGCGGATGTGTCTACTGAATGGCTTTTGCTGCGAAAATCTTCAAAAATATCCCTGTACATTTTTCATCCGAACACTCGATGCTTGCTTAAAGGGAGACAGTCCCCCGAGCCGCTTACTGGTACTCTTTCTGTCACCTTTCTGGCCTAACGTACAGCAGCTTTCTGCGTCTGTGCTATATTGATCTTCAAGTGCTTTTGAACATCTAGTGTCTTCTTTCACTTTTTCCAGCAACACACTGACTAGGAAACAATTATTTTATGACACGAGTGAACGAAAGATGCATTTGAATTTAATCTGGAAATTATCTAGATCACTCTCATCAGGCATCTGTGGCATATAGTGTATTTGTATGTAAACACTGTGTTATATAGGCCTAATTGCTGCACACCTGCCTTTAATAAAGCACAAATGAAGAGGGTAGAAAGTTCCCAATAGGCCTTTTTCACAACAGACATTTTGCCTTGTTATAGCAGGAAAAGCACAGGTGTTACTAATATCATTAACAATGGCTCTGTTGTGTTCAAGTGTCCAAGTAAGCCGTGACAGTGAGCCAGCATGCACTATGCCAGCCCCCCGAAACTGACGCAGCTAAATGGAATTCAGTCATCCTTAATTACCTTATCTACGCCCATGCTTTTTCAAACTGTGACAAGAGGCTTCTTAGAAACTAGCAGATAATTTAGGACTTTGGTAGAGCTCTCTAAAACTCTTGGATTGTGTCTGCAATAATTTCCCATTCACTATCTAATGCACTATATTCACTGTCCACAGTTTTAGTGTCTCCATGGCATGTACACTACTTTTTTATATATTTTAACTAACTTCTCTCTACAGTAACCTATTGAGTGTCTGTTCTATAGGAAGCAGTGAACACATGATCGAGGGAGTGGTTTCCGATAAAGCCCCATAAAACGGCAAGCTATTTCTGCTTTGAGAAATCCAAAACTGTCCAACTGAAAAATGCACCAAAAGACATAAAAATACATGATTGATTGGTATTGTAACCGCCCTTAGAGGTTGTGATTTTATTTCTAGGGAGCTGATGCATACAGTTGCAAGTCTCTTTGTTGTGGATACCACCTTTGTTTATCTGCAAACGTCCTCGAGGCCTCTGCTCGCTGCACATGAATGTCACTTTGACTGCTCTCTTCCTCTTTGTTCTCAGACTGGAACCAGCATCTGCCCATCTCTGGTTCATGTATCTGATTTTGATTCAGCTTGAGACTATAACATCACTCGTAGTCACACACAGATACACATACACACCACATCCAGTTAAAACCGGGCACAGATTATGTGCTTGGTGAGACACAGAGAATTAAGTTCACTTTGAGGTTGGATGGTTAATATGGGTCAGGGGTGATAATCTGATTAAAATGCAGCAATAGTTGTGCAGATTGACTGCAGACAGTGATGTGGCCCTGTGGGTGTTGGGCTTTCCAGACAACTTCTTATCAGGTCGGCTGTCTGACAAAGGCCAAACACTGACTGTTGATGCTCAATAATGTGGTGCTGATATTAACTGACAGAGTGAAACTACACAGACTGCTACATTGCTTTGTTGAGGTATCATACTGCAGATGCACTGAACTGAATACTCACCATTGATTCCTTTGATTATTTCCTGTGAATTAATTAAGGGGAAAAACTTACTTGACTTTTCTTACAACTCCTGTTGGTCCCACACTACAGCCAGTAGAAGCTGTTATCAGCATACGGTCAAGTCAGTTGCTGCTGGCAGGCAGGTTGTCAAGGAAACAAACTGGCCAGCAAGTTGTCATGTAAACATCTCACCTGCACTCTGCCGCTGATCAGAAAGTAATGTTACCTGGCTATAAACAATGTTTTTTCTTTAATATTTGATATATATTTTACATACCTTTTATATTTAAAACCAACTTTTTTATGATTTCATGAATGCAGCATCTCCTCTAAGACTGTATGCAATAATGTGCTTACAACTTGACATTTAATGAAAAGATGATAACTAGCATTTGCTTGCCATGTGTATCTATGCTGCCAATTTATGAGCCTTTGATACTTTTGTTTGTAAAGGCAGACATGGTAAACAAATTGCAATGTTCCCATTGTCCCATTGTACTTGCTTATATGGTGCTAGTTTTAATGGAATGTGGCTTCCATTGAAGTATGCTTATATTTTAATATATTTCTTGATACCATAATTATTCACATTTTGTTGAAAGAATTTGTCGTCTGTAAATGTTGTGGTAAAAATCGGATATATTGTCAGGCATAAAGCACTTCCAGAAGAGTAAAAGCTTGCATTTTGATTGTCCCTTTAGTATCATTTTATTAATCAATTTAGTATTTTAACAATATAAATAAAGGCAGGGGAAGACAACTTTAAACCATTTTAGTTTTTGAATATATACCTAACATAACTTAACATAACACCAGCACTTCCTGAGAATCTGTGGCCCTTAATTGAAGATATGTTGATCACATGGTGCCTAATTACACTATATGAATAGCACCATTGTAAATGCACTTTTCCATAAGCTGTCAGCATTTTAGGAATGGAAATAACAATTTTTGCATTGCCAGTGTTTGTCGTTATTTCTTAGGCCTGTCTGTTTTCCAGAAAAACTTCTTGAAATCCTGAGTAGATTCTAGGATTGTATATTTATATTTTACATTTTATTCTCAACGTTTCTTCATGTGTCGGATCAGTTAAGAAAGTAATACACATCTCCTTTTTTTCATCTTCAGATCATGAAGGAAGTTTGTCGAGCTCTGGGTAATGCAGCTGCTGATGACAGCAAATTATTATTGCTCAGCTCCGTGGGGACTGTTTTCTGCAGTGGACTGGAGCCGTCGTACCTGATAGGGCGTCTGTCCACTGACCGCAGAAAAGAGAGCAGCCGCATCGCAGATGCAGTACGGTAATAAGAAATCTGACCACTGTAAACACCTCTCTCTTATCACTTGTTATTAGACTTGACAGAGTTGGTACTGATTGCTCTTTGACCCCTTTTAGGGACTTTGTATTGGCATTCATCCACTTCAAGAAACCCATTGTGTTAGCAATAAACGGGCCTGCTCTGGGCTTAGGGGCCTCCATCCTGCCACTGTGTGATGTGGTGTGGGCCAGTGAGAGGGCCTGGTTCCAAACTCCATGTGCAGCCCTCCACCTCACCCCCTCTGGATGCTCTTCTTACACCTTCCCCCAAATCCTAGGCGTAGCTCTGGTGGGTCCTTGACCTAATTTGATTCCTCTTACAACCACCTGATTACTGGGACTTTACCCATATCAAACACTTGGATTGCACGGCATATTGGAAATATTACTTGTAATTTCCCCCCCTTCTTTCCCCATTGGCAGGCCAACGAGATGCTGTTCTGTGGAAGAAAACTCACAGCCCAAGAAGCATGCAGCCGAGGTCTGGTGTCCCAGGTCTTCTGGCCAACCACATTTAACCAAGAGGTGATGCTGCGTGTGAAGGAAATGGCGTCATGCAACGCAGTGGTAGGTCCAGATCTAGACAACCCAGCGAGCAAAGCGTTATCTTGAATATAAACAAATGACCCTCTCCCCTTTCTGTGTTTGAAAAGGTTTTAGAAGAATCCAAATGCCTGGTGAGGAGTATTCTCATGTCAGTCCTGGAGGAAGTCAATGAGAAAGAGTGCCAGATGCTGAAGCAGCTGTGGTGTTCAACCAAAGGACTAGAGGCACTCTTCAGTTACCTGCACAACAAGACGTATGAGAAGTGATGAAAGGTTCAAAGGTTATCTACAGAGAGACATCCAAACTGAAGGAATAGTTGCATAAAGGGTCTTTGTTTCCATCCATCAGCAGAGGGGATTTTCTGGAGTTCTGTTTTCTCACAACAATTAAAGTATTTTTTATTTTTTTTAATGAATGAATAACTGTCCAGATGTTTATTCTTTAGCAGTCAAAGAGCAAAGGGCCAAATGTGCATTGCTTAAATACACACTGAAGGAGGTTCTTCAGGGAGGTACAGAGTGTTACTGTACATATGTGAGACTTATGCGTTTATGAAATCATCAGGATGTATGTATGTATCATTGTATGTCTGATAACACATGATACATTGACAATAATATATATAAATATATATTTATTTCAAGTGTGTAAAAGAGTTGCTTTCTGTATATGTCTGTATATAAGATGCATTTTCAAGATTTTCTTTGGTTGCTAGTTTTTTGAGTTGAAGTGTAAACCAAAGTTTGCATGAGGACACCGTTTCTTGCTTCTTACATGCACATTCCATCCTCTCTATATGGACTGAAGAAAACTGTTAGAAAATTGGCCACAAATGCTCATATATGTCAATGAAACAGACTGAGTGACTGTTCAAGACATATAATCTTATTAGTTACCATTAAAGATCCTGATACACTCTGGATAGAATAAAACTGTTGTTTTTTTTGCATCAAATAATTCATTGTTCATACTGTAAAAGTCTTTATTACAAAGAACAGATGTCTTGTTTTCCAGTAACTTGTCATCATTATCGTAATCACAAAGAAATTCCTTCCATTACATGAAATCAAGATTAATGTCCATGTACTAATGAGACCGTCAGATGATAGTACGTGAAATGTCATCCTCAGACTGCCAACATCCATCTGGCTTTAGTTATTTCTACCTGCTACAAAACAGATATGACAAGTTTCATTTAGTCTCAGTTTTTCTTTTAAGGCAGACTTGTTTGAATTGAAATTTTCAGAAAATAAGTGGAAATGGGGAACACTGGAAGTCTTGTGTGAATGCTAGCCCTGAACGTACAAATGTGTCCGTTGTTAATCAAACGGCACTTAGGCTAGGGAGTACAAAATGACTGGATGATTAAATTAATTGGTGGCACATATCACATGGAAGGATTAGCAATGAATTTTGTCTCATTTTGTTTGAGATACATATAGTGAGTAGCCTTACATGCAGTACTGTTGTGGTTCATATGTATAACATGGCTTCCAGTTACCAGTGCAGATAGTTACTGTGTGAAATGCGTGATTGTTTTATGAAAAGCATCAGATAATCATGTTGATATTACCTGACAGTTATTTTTAGTTGTGTATATTTTAAAGCACACAAAAAGACATTGCTTGGTCCTCAAATAATCACATTGTGACTACACTCATTGTCAGTGATCAATATTGTGGAAATGCAACAGTCGTGTAGTTGGAGTCAGCTTTGTCCTTATCTGCATGTGATGATTTAAGATTTTAAGATATTTTACATTGCAATGTGTACTATACTTAGGGATCTATTTTGTTTTACCAAAAAAATGTAGGTCTGTGAAGATTGTTTTGTAAATTTCAGAAGATATCTGTATAATTTTTGCAGTTGTACACATGCAGTACAGAATAATATATAGATAATATAGACTGTTTTGTGTAACTAATTGCATGTAATATACTGTACATATTAATGTGTTGCCTGTCTGAATACCTTGTATTCCAGGGTATGTTTTGTACCAACATTGTAAGTATTGTTAGAAATGGTGCAGTTTATTTTTGTATTTATTTGAGATAACTGTTTGGATGTGCAGTGCCATGTGGTCTCCTTTGCTCCAGAAGCACCCCGACTCTCTTAATCACCCTTTCTAAATTATACTATAAAAACTTTGATTAACAAATGGGTCAGGAAAGCAGATAATTTATACATATATAATTTCAAAGCCAAAATGTGCAAACACTATTGTTGAACCTGAATGTTTACTTTTTTAGTTGACATTATCAAATTAAGTATTTTGTGGTAAGTTATCAAAGGTGTGTCAGATAATTTAATATATATTATGTTTTACTGAGCTTTACAAGTATGGAAAGATGATCAATAAAATGACCTTTATTGTATTTCAAGCATGTAAGACTCTGTTAATGCTCCATGAGGTAGTTTAGGTCTTTTTTTATTTGTGGCTATTGCTGTTTGATCACAGGGAACAAATAATGGCTTGATGACGCATCATTGGATATTTTTAAGTCATGAAGTCCTCCCATTAACCAACTGCACACCTCCACATAAGTTCGTGAAAAATAAAACCTTTACGGTTTCATTATATCTTGTATCCTATTTTGCCAAATATGTACAGTAATCAACTACAGAACAGCGATTCAGTTCAATTACAACTTGCATGTTTGGCAGGTTTGTGACAAAAAAAAAGCCAACCAGGCTTAAAAAAATCACTCAGATGTTGTTTGGGTTTTGTGGGGTTTATTTAATGAAATTGTTGATTAGCTTTATGGTACCAAGGAAAGGTTAGAAGGACCTGTGTCACCGGAGATTTTAAAAAAAATGCATTTCTTCACTTTGATTTCTCCTTTGAAATCAGATCCCAATTACCCTCCTCAGCATGTGTTTGAAGTGTGCTTAATCATAAGATATTAGTAAATCAGTTAGAAAAAAAGCCCTCCTCCCATTTTTCCATTATTTATTACAAATGACTGCCTATTTCGGTAAATTTCTGTTTCTGTCTTTTATAACAACAAAATCATGTATGCTCCCATGTACGTGTATTTCATCATTCATGATGATTTCCTCCCCCCTTTGTCTCAAAACACACCTTGGGGTGCCTTAAACATTACATTTTTGTCAAAGGTTGATCTATACGTTGTGATGGGTAGAGTGAGCCACTTCAAATAAAGAAACAGTACTTTAACACTGTGTTTTCTGTATTACATTTCACAAACCAATAACTAGGCTTTTGTCGACAGTTTTATATTCATTTTTAGTCAGCTGACCAACACTCAGTAACCTGGTCACATCTTTCAGTGCTATTGTCTTTTAACTCCGGTTCAGCTACTTGGCATTTCCTCTTTTAGTTGTGAGGAAGTAAGAGTCCTCACTGATGTATCAGTTTGTGGTATTAAGACCACAGGTTTGAATCATTATTGGGTCACTGCGTTAAGGACTCAGCCTTTGTATATGGGCGCATGCTCTAGCAGGTGAGCTACTGGGACGCCCAGTCAAAACCACATCCAACACCAGAGACATTCTCTCTGTTATATGAGCACTGGCTAACATGTGACTAAAGGTTCCCATTTAGGTCACAACAGTTTCACTTTATTTGAAAGAAATTAAACTTGTAACGAATCAATATGATTCCCCATTTAAATAAAATTTCAATGTTCAATGTTTTCTATGTTCATGGGTGTGTTCACACAGAATAACCCAGTTCTGGGTCTTTTTTACATGTATCTCTGATGCCCTGAAATGGATTCTCCCTGTTTTCATGAATAAATCAGGTACCAGAATATTCCTGAGGTGTCCTGCCAACTAAAATAATGGTTTGATGAAAGGCTCCTGCCACCAGCTACACTAATCTCTTTCATGGAGCTGCTAACAGAAGAGAAATAAATGATGATCCCCAATAGAAATATTTAATCTAAAGTACTAGATGCTATTGTTTTTATGTTGACCTAAAATGTCCTGGTACAAGTTTTAGTCTGTGCAGGTGACAAAAACTCAAAAGTGTGTCAGAAGTTATAACCGTTCCTCTGTCTTGACATGAACCAACAGCAGAGTCCTGTTACACAGTGTCATTCATGAATCAGTGTTCCAATATTTTAATACTTCTAACTCGCAGTGGCAGTAGAAAAGTTGCGGTAAAATGTCCTTCAGAGCTGCTCCTTAGGCCCTTCTTTCAGCCTCTTTTTCATCTCTTGCGCGTGTTTCTTGCTGCGCTCCCGCTTGTCCAGTCTCTGTTGAATGGTAAGCAAACAAAGAAAACATTGATCAGAAAGCAAAAAAAGAAAACCAAAGGTCAGTAGTCAGAGTGCTTCTTGTATCTTATTCACAAAGTGCAAACAAAAATAACTGACAGACCTCTTTCTTCAGGCACTGACGCACAGCACGGTCCACATCATTACACGTGCCAAAGAACTTCAGGACATTGTGCTGTGGGGTTGACATGAAACAAGATCTGCATTGTTTTGTTTTCTGGGCATATGAAGCATGCAGGAATACAAGAACTTAGAGAGGAACATACCTCCGTGTGGCACTGCCTCAGACGAGTTATTAGTTCATTACACTCGTCCGTGTGCAGGTGAGGGGACAGGTCAGGGTGCATGCTGAGTTAAGGGCGTACTGTACCACTGTGGCAATACTGAAAAGGCACAAACAAGAGGACCACTGATTGAGGAGCGCTGAGTTGATTCACCAATTACTGTTGAATGTTTATGTGTGGCAACACATTTGAACTGCATCAAATGCATCCAAGTTTGCCTTTTGCTGTCACTTTTCCATTACATCAGAAGATCAGATGTACAAACTAAGGCTGCAACTAATGGTTACTTTCATTATTGATTTGAAGACCTTTTAAATTACATCTGTATAGAATACTGTATATAGTGTACATACAACCCTAATTCTATTTTTATCTCGATATCTTGTATTTTTCTATTTTATTTTGTTATTTTATGTGCATTTCTTTTTTTTTTCTTATCTGCTATGTTATAACTGGATCAAGTAAATGTCCCCAGTGGGGGATCAATAAAGTCTGTCTTACCTTATCTAGTTTATTTTGTCTATTAATTAGGCTGCACAATTAATCGAAATAGTATCGAAATAACCATATGGCAAGTGCAATATCTAAATTGCAGAAGCTGCAGTGTTTTAATAAAGTTAAGATGTGTGAGAAAACAGCATTATATTGTAATTGTATAGTAAGTATTGTAGTTCCAAGGTGATACTCTGGCCTACAAACTCCAGATAAAACATGTTTGTTTGATACAGACCCCAGCAGATGTCACATCATCATGATTTTAAGTTTTTTTTCAGTGAAAATGAAAAATTGTGATGCATAAATTCACATCACAATCTTAATATAAATCAATATAACTGCATAATTATTATTATTTTTACCATATCGTGCAGCTTTATCGTGCACTTTTAATTAATCATTAAAATGTCAAAATTCTTTTCACAACTTCCCAGAGCCCAAGGTGTCATCTTTAAATAGCCTGTTTTGTCTGGTTAACAGTCCATCTACAACAATATAAAACAGAAAAAGCACAATATCCTCATATCTGGATCCAGTGGATGTCTACAAGTTTTGCTTGTTAAAAGCCTTGCAATTAATATATTTGAATGCAAATGCTGTTGATTCATCTTGAATGTCAACTAACCACTGTTACACTCATGCCAAGGACATGTCCTCTAAAGGATACTGATGCCTCCCCATCCCTCTCCTTCCTGAGCTGTCATAGTGAGGATGGAGTTTGTTTTTCCTGTGGGCACTTATCTACAGACACAGAGAGGGAGAGGTTGAGTATACAACACTGTGACACATGAAATATCATGGCTTTCACAGACTACACGCATTCACCCTGCTGACACTGAACCAACAGCACAGCCCTGACTAGCAGACTCTGGATCAGGCTGCAGAATACACTTGACTAGACTAGACTGTGAGTGGTCAGTGAGTTTTGACCTGTAGCACAACAGCTAGGTTTGCTCGAAATAGTGGAGGTGCCTGTTGCATGTTATAATACACTATTTGATAACGCTTGCACTTCCGATAGTAGGTAACTGTAATACCTTTACCAGTCGAGAGGTTGAGTCATCTGAGAAGTTTTCCAGCAATCCTCGGTGAAATGTCACATTAGCTCGCTAACTGCTAGGCCTCGGCTAACGTTAACTGTGTGTGACACAGCATAAATACATGCAACCCCTGAATAACTACTGGGCTTTCTGTCTGTCTCCCCGTAGAATAACGACAGTATACCTTATGACCTCTACAGTTCGGGTTAAATCTGCTGTCTTTAACTGACATCAGTGTAACCTACAGCAACAGCACGGTGCTGTAGGACATGCTGCTCACAACACTTGACGCTTTCGTAACTGTTTGGTGACAGTTTGAGTGACAATAGTGAACAGCCAATCAGCGTCCGCTTGTTCCCTCAATCCACCAATAGCATGCGTCCTCACAAAAGGTGGGAGTTCTGATGGCGGAAGTTCACAGGAGATACAAGAGGTTTCCCTGTAACGTACTTCCGTTTTTGCTCGACCAGACGTCCTCTCTGAGAGGTGGTTACAACTTACTTTTGCAGCGAGTGCTTTTGTGACAACTATACGGCCAGTCATATCCCAGGGAAGCTGAAAGCCATCATGGACAACCCCTCTCATCCTCTCCACGCTGAGCTGAGGCAGCTCGGGAGCATCTTCAGCCACAGACTGACCACTGACCACCAGACTCCACAACGCCACAGCTCCCAGTTCCTCCAGTACCTCCAGTTCCTCCAGTTCCTCCAGCATCTCCAGTTCCTCCAGTTCCTCCAGTATCTCCAGTTCCTCCAGTATCTCCAGTATCTCCAGTTCCTCCAGTATCTCCAGTTCCTCCAGTATCTCCAGTTCCTCCAGTATCTCCAGTTCCTCCAGTATCTCCAGTTCCTCCAGTATCTCCAGTATCTCCAGTTCCTCCAGTATCTCCAGTATCTCCAGTTTCTCCAGTTCCTCCAGTATCTCCAGTTCCTCCAGTATCTCCAGTATCTCCAGTATCTCCAGTTCCTCCAACCCCAGCAGATAAAGACTGGGTTAGAACTCCTACCTACAACGCACAAACCTTTTGCACTATGTATATTTAATTTCCACTTTAGTAGTTTTAGTTTAGTTTTAGTCAAGTTTAATTTTCTGCTCATATTTTGGACTCCATGTCCTACTTGAACAACAAATAGTGTATATACTTTAATTTATAGTTTTTATATCTTCTAATATTAATAATATTAGCAATATTTTTACTGTGATATTCTTTGTTTTCTGTTTTTGCGCTGCTTTGCCCTATTGCTGCTGTGTCAACCTGAATTTCTCCTTAGGGGGATAAATAAAGGAATTATCTATCTATACCGTCAGTATGCTTCTCTTATTCAGAATAGGAATCACTTTTATTGCCCAGGTGTGTGTACACATACAAGGAATATGACTCTCATACATGCACAGAATAGGCAAAAATAAATAGGACAACACACACACCACATATATATGTATATCTACATATAGAAACATTAACAACAACTATAACATTTGTAGACAACAAGACAATAGTGGTAAATATTAGTAAATATTTTTGCGCAAGTATTTTTATAGACATGAGGTAGGTGGATATGTATATACAGTATATGCAATTATTATTATATAGTATATACAATTAATTATTTTAAAAGGCAAAGTAATGACAGATGTCAGTGATGGATACCCATGCTTGATATGCATTATTCTGCTTAACCATTACTTTTCAGTCTTCACACCACAGACTTTCACTTTAACTCAGGTTCCCGCCATCTTCAGAAGTTTTACAGCGACTCCTCCATTGTTGGATGCCTCAACAAAGACAACAGGGAGGAAGACTGATGGAGAGCTTCGTCACACGGTGCCAAAACAATCACCTGAAGCTCAATATCAGCAAGACCAAAGAGCTGATGGTGGACTACCAGAGGAACAGGAAGCCCCTCACCACAGTTATCATCCAAGGAGAGGAAGTGGAGATATGTTTCCACTTTATATATTTCTATTATTTATTAGTCTGATGTGCCATGCTTGCTGACTCTAATCAACTTTACAAACTCTACACATCTCATACTTAACTTTTACTTTTCTCTATTTATCTGTATTTCTTTCTGTCTTTCTGTAGCTGCAACAAGCACATTTCTCCTCTGGGAATCAAGAAAGGCTTATCTTATTTCACTGCAGAACGTTTGTTACCTTTGGTTCAATTTGGTTTAATTTAAAGTAATAATGGTTAGTACCTACAGAGTCATTAAGATATAACGGCACCGGCAGTACCACTCCAACACAGCAGAGGGCGCTAAAGGCAGCGCGTAAGACCCTCTGGTAATATCTGATTGGTCGATTCGTGTGCTCCGTTGTCGGCGGTTTGTTTGGAAACGGTACTGCTGCCACCGTGCAAGCTAGACGGAGACAAGTAATTAATTGAACTCAAAAACTGTTTTCCAATACAGCAGCTAAGCTAAATATCGATTACTACTCGCGTAATAATGGACGACGCTACGAAACGCTTACTGCAGCGACTCGTAAGACGGATACCGACCCAGATACTGAGAACAACGCTAGACAAATGGGGCCGTTTGACTGCGGCTCAGAAGCAGTCCATAGATTTTACTCAACCAAAATGGGCGTTAACGGAAAGATTATTGGCTGTTTGCGAGGTTTGTGGCAGTGTTTTTTGTTGTTGTTTTATAATATACAGTGTAAACTTTTAACATGGTTAAATACTTGTTGAATTCGGCTGTGAAATCCTTCCTAACCACGGTTAATGCTCCGCTACTTTAAATACATTTCTCACTAGGAATCATCTTCATTTGGATTTAGCTAGCGTTGTAGTGGATGTCCCCGTCTTTTAACCTTGTTTCCTTTTACAGGAAAATGAGTGGACAGTTAAACACATCACAGAGCTGGAGATGATTTGTAAGTAAAGTTTAATTACTTTCTCATTTGGACTCGAGTACACAAGGTTAGCTAACGTTATTCATACCACTTCATCAATCTGATCATGCTTCTTGTGTCGCTTTGGTTTCGTTGTCTCTTAGATGTCATTGACAATCCGAACCAGGGCATGTGGTATGCCTTCCAGCTCTTGGACCCTGAAGGTATATTATTATAAGAATATGCTGGTGGTGGGATCAGGGTTTTCTTTCTGGTTTAAAGTTTGGTAACTTTAAGAGAGAAGAGTCTGGGTCTTGATGTTTTTTTACAGTTATAAAGTAAGGTTAACATTTTTTAAACATTGTATTGAAGTGTCACACATTCTTTATCTGTTTGTTCCCGGGAATTAAATGCAATATTATGATTAAGCTGAGTTTACTATTAAAAGTATTGCTGCATCATTACATTGAATTCTGGATTTGCATAAAAATAGAGCTATAAGCTATATAGCTTAGAATTTTCTCTGTTTTCCAGATGACGCTTGCTCCGTAGAGCTGACGCAGTTCAAGGAGCAATTTAAATCTCACCTCAGTGAGCTTGTGAGACCTGTAAGCCAGAGATTCCTCCTCACATAAGTTACAAAATCTTACTAATTATATAGTTGCATTAATGAAAGACATTTTATAGGCTTAAAATCTGATTTTGTCACTGCATTCAAGGTGTCTGTCAAAATAAAGAAGCACACGGACGAAGCTGTATGGATTCGGATTGCATGGGGAGACAGCTTCTCTCGGCCCAACCACCTGAAACCAACATATGTTGTTCACCATCTTCAAACCCCTTATGTCTTTGTGACCAGCTTGACTTCAAAGCAAAAGCCCCTGTTATCCCAGGTGAGGTATTAGTTTTATATTCAGTCCATGACATTGTTTGTACAGTTGCCAGGTAGCAGTTTTTCTGTTTTGTTTTTTTTTTAATTCTCCACTAAGAGAGTGGTGTACTTTTTCAGGCCTTGGTTCTGTCCACCAGATATCAAGCTATCAAGGATGCTAACCTCAGTGGACGGAAACTCACTGCCATTAGGGACCTGCTGATGAGGCAATATCAACAGGTAAGCCTGTTATAAAAAACAAAACTAGACTATACACACATTTCCAGGTTACTTTAATATCTACCTAAACAGCTATATATATATGTCCTGTTTTTCCCTACCTCATCACTTATAATTGTCTGTCACTAAACTCTGCTGTCGTGTACAGGAGCGTTTCTGGTTTTGGTGTAAAATTGTGTATTATTTTATTGATAACCACCTGTTGCCATGTTCACCTTTTATGCACTTTAACTACACTTAAAACTTTACCTTTTTGCAGGGAGATGAAGCTTGATGTATCCCCTTATTTAGTGTTGATAACACAAAATGTTTATAATCCTAACGGTGAACTGTGAGAATCTTTGCACATTGTTGTCATCCCTGCTTAGGTGTTTTTATTCATTAAAGGGAATTTTTGCAAAAGTTGTTACAGTATATGTACTGTAAATGTAATTTAAGTTGCTGAACTACTTCCTGGTTAAACTTTGATCTTTACCCTCTCTGGGGGTGTATGCAGTGTTTTTGCTTTCAATGGATGATTTAGATAATGTAATTTAATTGGAGGTTTGCTGTAACCTTAGTAGTTGTCTGACTGGTTGGATTTTGCCAGAAGTTTTCCTATGAAAACCAAACGGTGCAAGATAGTTGTTCATATTTAGAACAGATTAAACTATGTTGTGAATGTTTACTATTTTCTTTTTTGTTTCTAGGTGTTTCCCACTAACTATCCCAGCCCTCTTGCAGAAAGGAATCAAACTGTCTCAAGTATGTTTATCAAATAACTTGATCTGACCAACTCTACTTGAATATTTATATTTCACAGACTTTTACATTGGCTGTTTAACTTGTTGTATTTGGTGTGTGTACTTCTGATCCAAATTCTAAAATTGTGATTTTATTTATTTGGTTATATTTGTATTTATAGACCCGCTCATAGAAAAAGAACAAGCTCAGCCTGCAGCAAACAGACTTCAGATGGCCTGTGAGGCGTTTGGTGATGGGGTGTTACCTCAGCTACAGTCTGCAGTTTACAAGGTACCCTGAGACATGCTTGTGTTTAAAATATTGAGTTTCCTGACATAGTAGTTTAAAAAGTCAAAGAAACAAAGAACATAACTCTGTCTCTTTATATCAGTTAAAAGTTGGGTAAAAACGTTTTGTGTTCATCTTTCCTCAGCTGGAGACAAAGTTCAGGGACTACACCAACAAGACCATGACAGAACGGGAGGAGCCCTTCAGATGTCACGTCAAATTTGCAAGCACCAACCTCCTGGAGTCACTCAGACACTGTGCATCTTCAGGTACCAAGAATATGTTATCCACAATCATTAAAGAAACCATCTGTGTATTAGGAAGCAAATGTTATTAACACTGTAAGTTAGTAAAATGGTAAACAATTCAGAATTTGTCATATTATTGACAATCCCATAAATGACCACAAGAGGGCACATACACACTTGTGGGTTAAGTCCCACATTATCCATCATGAATATGTCATGGTCAGTGCATTCTATGAGTGGTTTTTACCCATGTGCCCCGATTATTAAGTCAGTTCAACTAATTAATGGATTTTTCTATTTTATAGGAATTGCCTCCACCCCTGTCACACCTCTGCTCTCATCTATTCCCCTAAAAGGAAGAAATTATTTTGTCATCACAGACAATGGCCCTGGACCCTCCTCACAAACGCACCAACCATAGAACTGAAGGGTGACAGAGCCTTGATTTACAGGACTCGCAGTGTGGCCATGTCCACTCCACCCATGGTTTGCTTTTATCATTCATTGATCTCCTTGTGGGGAAATATATCAATAGTTGGCGACAGACTATTTTCTTTCTATTATCGTTTGTTTATGTGGCAGGTTGTTACTGCCATCAAATGTTATATATGTCCAAATTGAATATAAAAGCTTGATTTTTAATATTTGTGACTTGTATCCTTTATTATGTCATTTCACCCCATGCACTACTTATCATTCAGTCTTTTTTCAGTTCTTTTAATTCCAAATTAATTCAGCCAAAGCCAATATGAGGCATCAGCTGTCTGAGTTATCCAAATCAAGCGAGTATCTTCCAAAGTGACAGTCTGTGTAGTCCAAATGTCCCTTCCCACACACTATGGCCCATTCACAAGTGAAAACAAAAACAAAACAGACCTTTTCAAATTTGTACATTTGGTTATAGAAGAATTGTAACCAAGACATGTAATGAGTGGGTCAGTTCATGGTGGACAATGTAATGGTAACACTTTATAAATTACCTTTTGGCATATCTGTACTGCAATTTCGTATTACTTGGAAGCAGACATATGGCAATATCAATTTATCTGTAATAAGCTAATAGTGATAATATCAGAACGACCAATGTTTTGATGAAGCTCAGCTTGGAACACTAGAGCCTTATTAGAGCTAGGATATTGAATTGCTAAACTGGATACCATTTTTTATTTTGGACTCAGCTACAACCCACAATAATCTGTCTATGGTTCACACAATAAATGCCTCAAAGGCTTTCTGTGTGAGATGAAACAATACTGTTACACTAAAGCTTGGAGAAAGAGGAAATGCTGAGCTACCAAATACTCCTCCAGTTTAAAACTTAGTGTGTTTAAGGTACAGCAATACTTTTTTATTTTTTAATGTTTAAATAATACCACCCTATCCAGACACAGGAATATACGTATTTATTAGAAAATAAGCCATATTGCAAAACTAAAGTCACAGTAAACCTTATTTTGTAAAACGGAAGTAACAAACGTATACCGGATGTGACGTAGGCTCAACTGTCCTGACCGTCCTCTCGGTGGAAGGTGGCGAAGCAGCCTTTCAGGCAAAGCTGAGGGATGTAATACCTCCGTTCATTCAATGCTGCTGCTGCTGGGGCTCTCTGCCAAACACAGATTGGACTGTCAACACAGAAACATGGCTGCCTCTGCAACGGGCAAGGCGAATAACAGAGATAACGCTGCCACAGACAGTCCGAAATGTCACGAAGAATCTCTGTCGCAGTCTCGGGAAATAATAAAACCCACCATCACGGAGCTGACCAAAGAAGTGAGGACGAACATCCTCTGCACCGTGGAGGGATGTGGCAAGATTCTCCCCAACACACCTGCATTGAACATGCATCTGGTTAAGTCCCACAGGATAAAGGTACACGCTTTTAAAACCTGGTGGATTTTCATACGGGGTTTAGAGTTTTACCTCACTGCAATGCTAACTTAATGAAGCTAAGTTAAGTCAGTGTCGTCAAGACACTGACAGAAAACTGGAAAACGCAAGTCATCCACAACAACAAGTTCTCTGTAGCTAACGCATAGTTGTGATGCTTAGTAAGCACGACGTTACAGTCAGCGTTGGGTAAAAGTTTGTTATCAACCGCTAGCGGTGTTAGCGAGCTTGCTACATCCTAACTAGCTAACATTAACTACGACTGTAACAGTTCATCAATGAATGACTGGGATCACACGTGATGAGTGATACTTACCGCATTATTTCGATTCACGTCTAGATAATGTTGTTTTATGCCTGGATATAAGTTGTTACATGATAATGTTTCAATGTGGTCAACTGATATAAGTTATATATATATATATGTGTGTGTGTGTGTGTGTGTGTGTGTGTGTGTGTGTACAATGTACTCTAGCTAGTATTTTGAATATGCTCCACACAATCTAGCTACATAAACACTCTTTCTAGTGGACTGTTGTAGGCAGGGACTTCCCACAGGACCACTATTGATTGACTGAGTCTAATAAACAGTCTACTACCAATACTACACAGTCAGTAAAGTGGAGGCAGTCAAAGCATGTGGTCTACTTTAGACCCTGGTTCCCTTATCCTCAGTGGACTGGGCTTGCTTTCGTGGGAGGCAGTAATTCACTGTTTCCCCAGCATCAATGAAGTTCTTTTGCAGGGAACGGCTGCCTTTTGTCCTGCAATAGACTAAGCTCTTTGTTTAAAATAGGTGAATGTGAGAATTTGAATTAGCTTTTTAGAAGTAGTCCATGTGGCCCAGCTAGAAGAGTGTCTAACGGCCCAGTCAGCGGTTGTACCATATACATTTAATTTGAGGTTTAAATAGTTAGTCAGTCATGGTGTTACTGGTTTACTCCAATATGCCAAAACATCACCGGTATAAACAAATCTTTAAGAGCTAGAGAATACTTTTGATGGTCTATATTTTGCTGCTGTTCATTGTTAATCCTTGTACTAAAAGACATGGCAGTCACATTGAGAGTAACGGCAGATTCAGATCCTGTGTTTTGACTTTTCTTTGTGCACCCACACTTGCGTCACAGATTGTGCCTTTAAGGAGTGTACGCAGCTATGTTGAACTTCTGTCCGCAGTGGTAATGATACATTCTGGCTGACATGATGACACATTTTTTTTTTTTTAATGCTGGAACAGCTCACTCTCTGTGCTTCCTCTGCATTATTCATGAAGTCTGAATACAAGAATGAGGCATGATGTGCGGGCACCATATCTGTTGATATTTTGTCCACTTTAACGTTGCTGTCGCTCTACTGTATCTGTATGTATCTGTATGTATATGTTCTTACTGGTCGTAAAGACTAATGCATTTCATTTGAACTCCTTCACTCAGCTCAGTTCAGACTCATTTGATAAGTTTAATGTGACTGGCTTTGACTTGGCTTTTCGTTGTCAGCTACTGACTGATTACAATAATGTCTTGACCTCACTCAGACTTCAGCCTAAGGCCACATGTAGCTGAGGCCAACTGTCAGAACATACATTTTTAGTGAAATGTCTGTTTATGCTAACTCCTTATGATAAACCAGAGGGTGCGTTAGCTGTTCTGCTCCCTGTAGTGTTACAGCAGATGGAGGTGACCTTGACCACTGGAAGGCTGCAGTATTAATGATTATGGAGCGTGAAGGTTTTGTCTGTTTTCACCACACAGGGTACATTCAGTGTAGTTGCTCTTTTCTGTGATAAGTATACTACGCATTGACTTTAAAGGACCAGTGTGTGGGATTTAGTGGCATCCAGCGGTGTAGACGCAGATTGCACTACTGGGCTACTGTAGAAATATGACGGTTCAACATCACAGCCTCCATGGCCTCCATTTTTTTTAAATCTTAGAATGTTTCGTTTTTATCTACATACGCCTCTGTAGATAAAAAATGACACATTCTAAGGTTTAAAAGAAACTGATTCTTATTTTCAGGTGTTTATACTCTGATGAAAACACACCGATGAATATTATATAACATTTCTGTAGTCATATATTTCAGTAGATCCTCCTAAATGTTACACACTCAACCTTCAAATATAAAATGCGCTTACAGCTGCTTTAACAACTCTACCTTGAGACTAAAAAAGGAGCAGTGCTACAGCAAACTGTGAAATCCGGTGTACTGTCGGGGTTATTATGCCTCCACACAGGCGATAGCCATGGCCAGTGGCATTATGTTTTCAGGTTGTCCGCCCCATTCTTGTGAACACAATATCTCAGGAATGCCTTGAGGGAATTTCTTTAAATTTAATGGAAACGTCCACTTGGACTCAAGGATGAACTGATTAGATTTTGGTGGTCAAAAGCTCAGGTTAACCTCTCAAAACACATTTTAGCCATCATTCAAGAATTGATTTCACAATTAGTGACACGTCAGACTGAAGTCGCTGTGACCTCAAGATGACTTTGACAAACGCGTCATAACTCAAAAATTGATGCGTTAATTATGACACAATTACACGTTGATGTTTAATGGGGTGTAGTGATGAAGTGGTGACATTTTTTACCCAAAGGGTCAAAGGTCACCTTCACTATCACATCCTCATGTCCTGGAACTATCCTTTATTTGCCATTATTCAACACCATACTTCAGGAACAGAAGGGCAGATTGTGAGTTGGTGGCTGAATTGCTGACACTTTTGACCCATTCCACAGACGTCGAACGGGACGAAACAATGAGTAAACAATAACTAGCACGGTATGGGCTTTTATCTTTCCATCACATCCATTCTGCCTTTCACTTCCTGCCTCATTCCGAATTCCCAAGCGTCATCGCAATCATATGAACCCAGACAATGTATAGATCTTTTTCACAACCATTCTGACGTGAAATAGTAGGGTAAACACAGCTGTTATCAATGATACTAATTGTATCATTCAAGTATCATTCGTAACACCTGTGTTTACTGTCCTATTTCATAGGCTTCGCATCAAACAATGCTTGGAGAAAACAAAAGCATCACATTTTTAATAGTTATACTCTATGACAGTGGTTCTCAACCTTTTTGGTGTCGGGGACTTCTGAATTGAAGTGAAATTAAAATATTCCCCATTTTTCTCAAGAACCACTGCTCTATGAGAATCTATCTTTACATTTGTACCTGTTTAGCCAATACATGTATGATAATCATTACAGTTAATTTATAATTTATCAGCTGAATGATTAATGAATATTCACAAAAAGCATACATGTATGTGTCATTAATATAGGGATAACTTGTCTTTACTAAATATATAATGAGTCAGGACAAACTGAACGGATGTAAACTGCAACTTGACTGGTTAGTGGTAGCATGCAACCATGGGGCGTTAATTCTAGTTAATTTTTTTATCTTCAGTTATGTAAAGCAGAGGCTATTGTTCATACAGAAATGTTACATTTTTAATACACACATCATATTTACCTACACTGACTAAGGAAAGCAAGGTAAATATGATGTGTGTAGTAGTTGACATTTAGTGCATTTCACAGCAGTTACTATAAGAAATATTTTAGGTTATAGGAATTACATTTTTCTTTTATCAGCTAAAATCTTGATTATCCGTTACAAGGTCGGCTTAAACCTGTTAGACTGCTCACTTAGGACTTTGCTCAATCTCTCTCTCAGTAATACTTTGCTTGTATTTGTGGTGATCTAGGAATATACAGTATTCTCCCACTCA